GCTCTGCGGCCGCCGGCTAACTGACTGAGCCGCCCGCGGCCGCTTCTGACACGCCCTTGGTGTTGCAGGCGAGATGGTGGCGGTGACGCTGCGCAAGGAGAGCAGCCGGCAGCTGGGCCTCAAGCTGGGCGGCCGCCGCACGGAGCCGGGCATCTTCGTGATGGAGGTCCTGGACGGGTCCGTGGCCGCGCAGGACGGCCGCCTGCACCCGCACGACCGCATCCTGGCCATCAACGGCGTCGACGTCCGCTACGCGCGCCTCGACCACGCCTCGCGCCTCATCCAGCAGAGCGCCGCCCACGTCGGCCTCGTCGTCAGCCGCGGCGCCGTCGCCTTCGTGTCGGCGTGCGACGCGCCCTCGCCCGAGTGCCAGCGCCCGCCGTCGGCCGCGTGGCGCCCGCCCTCCGCCACGCCCGACGCCGACTGCCGCGCCTCGCTCGACCGCGCCAGCGCCAGCGACAGCGGCTGCGGCGCCATGGAGTATGGGCGCTCGCCGTCGTGCGACTCGCTCAGCGACCACAGCCTCGTGTCGTCCATGATGTCGTCGCCGGGCGCGCGCCTGCCGTCGGAGGGCGGCGGCGGGGGCGGCTCCCCCCCTCGCGGCGGCTCCCCCGCCACCTCCTCGCCCGGATACTGCACCTCCGACACCGACGACATCGAGCCGCACCCCAGCCACCCGCCCATGCCGCCCGCGCCGCACCCGCACGCCTCCGCACCAGCCCCTCCCCCCGCACCCCCTGCAGCAGCAGCCCCCCCGCACCAGCACCGGCCGCACCCGCAGCCCCCGCCGGAGGCCCCCACTACCCCCATCCAGCCAGCCCCCACGACCGCCTCGCGCCGCCCGAGGAGCACCTCCACGCGCCCGCCCACGCGCACGAGGCGGCGCCCGCGACCCCCCGCGCCGCCCGCGCGCCCGACGACGTCGCCAACATCATGGCCGGCCTCAAGCGCGCCATGCACCCGCAGGCGCAGCCGCTGCAGCAGAAGAACGTCTCCATCAAGAAGGTAAGGCCCCTCGCCGCCCGCGCCGCCCGCGCCCGGGCGCCTCGGCTCTTCTTTCCTCTTCTGTCTTCGTCTTCTTTCGTTCTCATTTCTGTATTTCGCTTCTGTCTTCTTCTGTCTCCTGTCCTGCCGGACGCCCCTCGCCCTGGCTCTTCGTCTGCTTATTCTTTGCAGGTCTCGAGGCCTTTGTCTTTCTTGTCACTCACTATATATATATATATATATATATATATATATATATATATATATATATATATATATATATATATATATATATATATATATATATATATATATATATATATATATATATATATATAATATATATATATATATATATATATATATAATATATATATATATATATATATATATATATATAATATATATATTATATATTATATATATTACATATATATATATACATATATATATATTATATATATATATATATATACATATATATATATATATATATATATATATATATATATATATATACATATATATATATATATATATATATATATATATATATATATATATATATATATATATATATATATATATATATAATATATATATATATATATATATATTATATATATATATATATATATTATAATATATATATATAATATATATATATATATATATATATATATATATATATATATATATATATATATATATATATATATATATATATATATTATATATAATATATAATATTATATATATATATATATAATATATATAATATATATATATATATATATATATATATATATATATATATGTATATATATATATATATATATATATATATATATATATATATATATATATATATATTAATATATATTATATATATATATAATATATATATAAATATATATATATTATTATTATTTAAATAACCATATGAAGATGAAAATTTTTAATTGCAGTGGTCCCAGATGATTTTGGATTTGGGGGAATATATAAACCTCTCGAAAAAAAGGGAATGTCGGAAAAACCCCGGGACCGGCCCTTTTTCCAAGGGAGGGACCCGGTTCC